TCTAGCTTCAACAGCACAAGGTCTGCTTCGACTATCAAGGCACCCCAAAATAGCAGGCCACAAGAGAGTGACAAACATACAAAAGAAGTAGAGGAAAATGACAATAGTAAGGATCAGGAAAGAAAAAGCAGCACTTCCCTGTTGTAGATCAGGCACAGTTATGAGCGTGACATGAATCAGCCCATTTACAATACTTTGCTTGAACGAGAAATGTCCCCCCTTTGGGATTGGCCTAAAGACACTTCAGATCAAACATCTATCGTCCTGATTTCTCCTTCTTTTTTGTGTTTGTCACTCTCCTGTAACACCACTAATCTTCGGCACTTATATGACCTCATAGTGTTGCAATGCCGTAAAGCTCTTACTAAAACTATACCAAACTAAAAGCCACAAGGAAAACGAAGCAGCTCGCAGAGTAAAACTTGTGAAAAAAGTCAAATTTAAAGCATGAAGATTTAATTCACTTCATTTATACCTGTTAGTAGCTCAATTATTTTTGTTTGTGAGAAGTGCGATTATTTTAGGACAGTGTATAAAAAGTGAAGAGATTTAAGCTTTTCTTTTAGGATGAACCAATACCAAGACCCTGAGCTAACTTCTTTTTTAATGCGTTGAAAAAGACGTAACATGGGCGGTTGCAAGATGTGGTTCGCTCCTTCTTTCGTATCAAATATTTATTTTTCTTATCTCTCTTCTTTATTTTTCTTTGTTTATTACTTTCTTGCAACACCTCTTACCGGGGGCTCTCGTGGCCTAGAGGGTAAGGTGTTGGCCTCTCATTCAAAAGGTCCCGGGTTCGAATCCGGGTAGCGACCGAAACATTTTGTTCTCTAAATTTGTCTCCTTTCACCTCATTTCCTGTTCTTTAGCAATGTTGTGTCGCCTGCTTTCGTCTCCTCTTTCTGCCCCCAACCCCTCACCTACTTATTGCCCCTTCCTCTGGGCGCCTGATTCTTTCTGCAGCATTTCTACTGCTACTCCTTCGCTTCTTCTTACTGCTATCTTTCAGCCACACCCCTGATCTTATGGTACGAAAGATCCACACCTAGCCTTCTCGGACAAGGGCTAAAAGTCTTGGAGGGCCCGTGTGCAAGTTGCGCACGTCAAAGGTCCCTTGGTGGTCTAAAATCGATAAGAGTAGGCTTCGGCCCCCCCCCGGGCAAAATGCAAAATTTCCTACCAACTGAAAATATTAGGTGTGTCCCGCGCGCTCATTTGACCTTATGCAGTTGCGAGCGCCGTAAAACACTTTACAAAAACAAAAACAAAACACCTCTAACCTTCGGTACTTATATGACCCCTTCGTGTTGCAATCCACTAAACGTTTACTAAAACTTTAATACCTAAAAAAGTCTTACTACTCTAAGAATATTTTACTGCTCTCAAAGAGACAAAAACAGAGAAGTTTCTCGTTACTAGAAGAACATTAAACTGCGTTGAAAAAAACGTAAAAATTTGTTTGCGACTCTCATTCAAAACATTTAATTTCATCGCAATAAAAATACGTACCCCCCTCCTCCAAAAAAACCAAAGCCCCGCCCCCCAAAAAACCCCCCCAACAAAAAACCAACAAAACAAAAAAACCCCCAAAAACACACACACAAAAACCCCCCAACAACAACCAGGTTTGTGACTCACTGCAAGAACCACGGGTTTCTGTTGTTTCGCGGGTTCATCTGATGCACGTGCTGGTTGTAGGCAGGGGAAACCAGGGCTTGGAAACCGCTCACCAAACTGCCCGCCACTGACCGGATGTACAGCTGACACCACAGGGGTGTGGGAATGGGGTGAGGTCCGGGGTTTTTAGGGTGGGGGAGGGGTGGGGAGGAGATTCAGGGATGGGTGGAGTTGGGTAGGGAGCGTCAACAAGAGTAATATTAACTACTCATAATAGCATATTGTGCATGCTTACGTTTATATACAGTATACACCAAAATCCACGAAGCATCATGAAAACCTTCATTATACACGGACACCGACGCAATTTAGTTCCAATGCCTTCTCTACTTTCAGATTAAATGACAGCTGAACGACAGAGTCCAGCTGTTTAAAATAATGTATGGAAGGGTAAGTTCGTCCCACCACACTGTGGCTAAATAGTTATTGATGAGGGAGCTCAAACTGGTGCGATGCTGTGTCAGTTTATTAACTTTTGCTTCCGAGAACGATTTAACGATGCTCCAGAAGGCTTCTATCACTAACCACCTGTTTTTATCACCAAATGAATTATATAATTGTCATATTATAATTACACCACTTGTTGTATTCCTAGTAAACAATGTGTCCCAAAAGTCGAGCCCTTTTCTGATTTTCACCAAAAGCAGCTTGATTGGTGTAATTCTCCACAAAAACAAATCAACCACCCCACCCTCTTCTAAAAAGAAGCAGCCCAGGACCTACCTCTTCCTTAACTCCGCCCAGCGCCACCTTCCAGCTGTCATTTCCTAGCCAGATGAACCAGCCACTCGTACCCTGCTCATGACTGGCCCTCAACAGACGTTTCACACTAGGAGGGTCAGTGAAGGCGATGACCACACGTGCCTGGTTGTGTCCAGCGAGTTCCTGTAGACACCGAGGGATTTGGAGAGGAGCGAAGGGGAGGTTGAAGGAGGGGGAGGGAGAAATAGTGGTTGAAGGAGAGGAGAGGGAGGAAGAAAGGTAGAGAGAGAGAGAGAGAGAGAGAGAGAGAGAGAGAGAGAGACGGAGAGAGACAGATAGAGACACCGAGAGAGAGGAAGAGAGAGAGTCACAGACAGACAGACAGACAGTCAGACAGACATAGAGTGGGAGCAGGAGACAAAAAGAGAAAAGAGAGAGGGGAGAAACAGAGAGAGAAACAGAGAGAGAGACAGAGAGAGAGACAGAGAGAGACAGAGACAGAGACAGAGAGAGACAGAGTAAAGGGTGAAAAATATAGCATAATGTTTCAAATTATGTATAACTGGTCAACACACCTACTCATGGCTCCACTATGAGATAATGGACTTATATCGTTCTGTTGCATGTCAGCATCATATTATTTAGTTTCCCCTCTGACAAAGGAATTTGTTTCCCGATTGCGTAAGCCTCTGTGATATACATGGGACTTACTAAAATATGTTTACGAGGTCAAAGACAGTTGTCACCTATCCTCAGTGTTACATTCATCATCATCATCATCATCATCATCATCATCATCATCATCATCATCATCATCATCATCATCATTATCATCATCAACATCAACATCATCATCTGTTCAATGTGAAAAAAGGAAATTAAAAATTATGAATTCATCAAATGTGTCCTAAAACGGCTAGACGTATAGTTTCTAGGATGACTAAGAAAGAAACCTTTAGGCAATGCTTTAAATATACAGAGAGAGTGACACCATCAGCAGCAGCAGCAGCAGCAGCA